GCATGTGTACCGTGCGCGTGTGTGTTGCGTGCATGTGTACCGTGCGCGTGTGTGCCGCGGGCATGTGTACCGTGCGCGTGTGTGCCGCGGGCATGTGTACCGTGCGCCTGTGTGTTGCGTGCATGTGTACCGTGCGCCTGTGTGTTGCGTGCGTGTGTACCGTGTGCCTGTGTGCTGCGTGCGTGTGTACTGCGCGCGTGTGTGTTGCGTGCGTGTGTACTGCGTGCGTGTGTTGTGTGCGTGTGTACTGTGCGCGTGTGTGCTGTGCGTGTGTGCTGTGTGCGTGTGTACTGTGTGCGTGTGTACTGTGCGTGTGTACTGTGTGTGTGTGTGCTGTGTGCATGTGTACTGTGCGCGTGTGTGCTGTGTGCATGTTGTGTGTTTCCCCCCAAGCCCTGGACTCCCTTTGTCACCTCCGCCTCATCCTCTGTAACCCAAGCAGCCGTCAGGACGGGGAGGCTGACGGCCCAGGTGTGGACAGGGAGCCCTAGCTGCCTGTGCACCGGCCCAGGGCTGTGCTGGATGCTGCCAACCTTCCTGCTCACCCTCCTTTCCCTCTGAGCTGCTCGGCCGGCCGCACGGGGACGAGGGCTGAGGTGGGAGGTGCAGTCGCTGTGAAATAGTCCCGCCAAGAATCTCTGCGAGCCTTCGCGTCTAACTTCTGGCTGACAGGGACCCAGTGGACTCAGCTGGGCCGCAGAAGCCTCCAGGACGGAGGGCGGGTGGCCTTGGTGTGGAGGCCAGGAGACAGCCGCAGGCTCCCACGGGAGCCGTGACCAAGAAGTGTGGAAAAGCACAGCCCTGCGGGGCTGGTGGGGAAGATTCCGAGGGGCTCACAGACGGTGCCGGGAGGGGTCTGTGTCCCCAGGTGTGGAGGACACCCTGTCTCCAGAGGCAGCACTCAGAACCTCAGATCTGAACCTGACGTTCAAATAATTCAAAAAACAGCATGCTATAAACGTGGCAAAATATTCACTGCTGAGTCTGTGGGGAGTCAGTCCACCAGGCTTGAGCACTTCTCCTTTAGATGCTGCGCCTGAGACTGTCCAGGAGGCTGCAGGGAAGAGGCTGCTTGGACTCTGGGCGCCTCGCTGGCCCCAGCTTCCATTTCGTGGCCCAGGACTCGATTCCATTCTGAGTCCAGGCTTGTTGTCTCCCAGGTCATGAGAGAGCGGCAGAGGCGGGTGGTCAGGAGCCCTGGAGCAAAGCGGGCTCGCTGAACAAAAGCAGGCCTCAGCCACCCTTTAGGGGGGTTGGCAGGGCCCTGCACAGTCCCCAGTAAAAGAATTACCTGAGCCGGTCACGGTGGCTCCCACCCAGCACTTTGGGAGGCCAAGGTGGGTGGGTCACGAAGTCAGTTTGAAACCAGCCTGGCCAAGATGGTGAAAACCCTGTCTCTACTAAAAATACAAAAATTACCCGGGAGTGGTGGTGGGCGCCTGTAATCCCAGCTACTCAGGAGGCTGAGGCAGGAGAATCTCTTGAACCTGGGAGGCAGAGGGTACAGTGAGCTGAGATCGGGCCACTGCTTTCCAGCCTGGGCAACAGAGCAAGACACCGTCTCAAAAACAAAAAAAAAGGAAGAATTACCTGGGGGCACTGCCCCGAAATGCTGGCCCTCCTCCCATTGTCTCTGCAGCCTGGCGGGGAGTCTCTGTCACCCCGAGCTCAGAAAGGTTCCCTTTGTGCCCCGGAGTGATGGTCAGCTTCTCTGGGGCTCCTGAGTGCTCCCCAAAGCAGGGTCTCAGGGGGCCTCCTCTTTCTCCCACACCAGGAAGACCCTCATTCCCAGCCTGGCTGTCCGCAGAAGCCATGGTGTGACATGGGGCAGGCTCCCCCCAGGTGCCCCTTGGCCCCCACCCACCGTTCACGGGACAAGGGCCTCAGGACTGGGGGACTGTGGTCAGGAGGCCTGCGTGTCCAGGGTGCATTCCAGCCCCATCCTGGTCCCTGCATTGCCACCGATGCCCTCAGCAGGGTCTCAGCGGGCTGGACCTGATACATAGGTCTGGCTCAGCAAGCTGGATGGCCACCCTTGTGGGGGGTTGACACTTAGGAACCCTGCCTGCCTTCCTAGGGGAGATTCACCCGTCTCCCTGCCCAGGAAGCCGCCCACACTTCAGTGCAGGCGAGAGGGCACAATCCGTCTCAGCTGCCCAGCGCCCAGGGAGGGCATGGCCCCCGGAACCACAGCTCTTCGGGGGAAATAGGCGCCATGCTGGAGAGGTGGGGCCTCTCCCTTGGCAGCCCAGCAGCTGCTGTTGGTTGCACCGCAGCCCTGGGGGGACAGAGGCAGGCAGGCTGCACGCACAGAGTGGGGCAGAGCCTTCGGCTCCCTGGATCCTGCCACGCCACCCCTGCCGTTCTGCAGCCACTGTCTGTGAGTAACAACACGCCACTGCATGTCCACGCATCGCAGTGCCGTGACACCTGCTTCAGGCTGTGCGGATTTGAAACCCTGTTCAGGTCCTGTGGAGAGTGACTCAAAGGCCTGGAAGAGACTCCCCAGCAGGCCAAACTCCACCCTTCTCCAGGGGGCGGGGGGAGCAGCCCAGCCTGTGGGGTGGGAGCGTGGTCGAGCCTGTGTTGGGGGCTGTGGCTGCCCTTCCACGTGTGGCCTGGAGATCCCCCAGCTGGAAGCACCCCACTCCTCTGCCTCCTGCCTGATCTTTCCCCTTGGACACCCAGGCTTCAGGCTGTGAGGGAGGTGGGAGGTGACTATCAGATGGGATTGGGGCTGGGCTTGGGGAGGCAGCCCCTAATAAGGGGCACCTGGGGGCTCCAGCTCAGTCAGCCTGTTGCTCATTTGCTGGGCTGATTGGAGATAAAGGCTCTGCAGCCTTCAAACCCCCGGGCTCGGCCCTGCAGGCTGACAAGGACTCTTTGGATGGAGGGTGGGGCCTCCCAGACTGTTCAGGCCTCCTTGGAAGACAGCAGCCGACAGTCATTCTGTAAACTGGGCTGATGAGAGCCCCCTGTCCATTTTTCTTCCTTAGGAAGTCAAGACTGCAGTCCCACCCTGGTCATCCTG